TGTGAGTCCATTAAACCTCTTTTTCTGGGGTACGTCTTTATCAGCAGCGTGAGAACAGACTAATACAACATCTTTCCATGTGCTTATTGGCTATTTGCATATCTTCTCTTGGAAAATGCCTAGATTCTTTTCTATTTTTTATCTTTTTAATTGTTGTAAGAGTTCTTCATATAACTATATTCCTAGATAGATCTTTTAAAACTCATTATTCTATAGCATCTATGATCTTTAACATATCCTAAAGCTCTGTAAACTGCTGCCCTGTTGCCTTGCCTCATTCATTCATTCAGTCAGTGTTCACTGACCATCTACTGGGTGGAAGGCATTGTGCTTTGCACTCTCAGGTTTCTTAAATGAATTAAATGCCGCCTGCTTCCAGGAACACAAAATAAGGTAGGAAGGGAAGCACCAGAGTGGTAAGTTTCTATAGAGGTTCAGAGGAAGAGGAGATGACTTTCTGATGAAGGAATCAAGGAAGACAGCCTGATGGGGGAGGCATTTTAAGTGTCTTTTGCAGGATGCATGAACTTAAAATATGAGAAGATTGGGGGAAGAACAAGTTCTCTGTGGAATGGTGATAAGTCTCATTTAACTTTTTGGGCTGAAATTTTCAGGGCTCAAAAAGAGGAATACTAGGAATAAAAACAAGAAAGGCAGTTGGGGTTTTGAATGCAGAAGTCTGCAGCCACTGGATATCGGGGGTGAGGATGGGCCGACATGCTCAGAGAATGGCGCTTTGGAAGATGGAATTCACAGAACTGTGTAGGATGATGGGGCGGGGGGTGGGGTGACAATTAAAAGCAGCCATGCTGGGTTTCCATCTCAGAGAATGACTTGTGCATTAGAAGATAGAAAGGCCTGGCTGGGCGCAGTGGCTTATGGCTGTAATCTCAGCACTTTGGGTGGTTGAGGCGGGTGGATCACCTGAGGTCGTGAGTACAAGACCAGTCTGGCTAACATGGAGAAACCCCGTCTCTACTAAAAATACAAAATTAGCCACGCATGGTGGTGCAGGCCTGTAATCCCAGCTGCTCAGGAGGCTGAGATAGGAGAGTTTCTTGAACCCAGGTGGCGGAGGTTGCCGTGAGTGGAGATCACACCATTGCACTCCAGCCTGGGTAACAAGAATGAAACTTCATCTCCAAAAAAAAAAAAAAAAAGACAGAATGGCCTGTAGTTAAACTCCTGTGAAAATTGTTCAGTCTTGTGGCTTTCAAATTTATTTGTCCCCAGGGTCACCCTTGTTTTTTTCGATGAATAACGTCTGACGTACATACCTTGAGTTTTGCTGTCTCAGTTCATTGTTACGCAAGTAACAATTTCTTAGTAAATGTTGGCTAGTTGGTTGGTCACTTGTTGATCATAGAATTGCATCAGTAATTCTAAGAGCTGGAAGGAGCATGACACATTAGCTAGTCTAGCCTCTCGTCGTATAGAGGCCCAGAGACGGGAAGCATGTGCCCACATTCACCCCGTCCTAAATAAAGGAAGAAGCAAGATTTGCAATGTAAGTGTCTTGTCTCCCAGACCAAATGTTTTCTTCAATTTTACTAAAATTATTTTAACCCCACCACACATACAACTGTCACCACTCCTGTCTAAAATACAAGTGTTGGGTTAGGGCCATCTAGAGAGGGGCCCCAAAGATGCATAATGCCACACAACTGTCTCTGACCTTCTGTGCGGATTCTTTTTTTTTTTTTTTTGAGACGGAGTTTCGCTCTTGTTACCCAGGCTGGAGTGCAATGGCGCGATCTCGGCTCACCGCAACCTCCGCCTCCTGGGTTCAGGCAATTCTCCTGCCTCAGCCTCCTGAGTAGCTGGGATTACAGGCACGCGCCACCATGCCCAGCTAATTTTTTGTATTTTTAGTAGAGACGGGGTTTCACCGTGTTGACCAGGATGGTCTCGATCTCTTGACCTCGTGATCCACCCGCCTCGGCCTCCCAAAGTGCTGGGATTACAGGCGTGAGCCACCGCGCCCGGCCTGTGCGGATTCTTTTCCTTTGCTCTAAGCCTTGTGTGAGGCTGCACATTCTTACGAGGAAGTGTTGTCGGATTGCAGAGGACTTGGGCTCTTGCCTCCAGCTAACCTGTTAACTGGAGGATCTTGGGTAGGTCACACTGTGTTTTGGGGCACAGCTTTGTCATCCATCAAATGAGGCAAATGGTGTTTCCCAGGCTCCTTCCAATGTCAGCATCCTAAGATGCTGATGTGCTGCGGCATGCATTTACCTCCATATCCAGGGGACCTGGTGGAGGCTTCTGTCACAGTCCCTGGTAAAGGACACCTGGAGTGCCTTCATGGGGCCTGCAGCCCCAGACCCAGTCCCACCCTCACCCACTGGTTAGAAATCTCCAGTGTTTTCTGAGGATTCTTATGGAATTTTTTTTCTATGTTAGACATCAGTGATTCAGTCTTAAAGATAAGCATTGCATCCGTTGGATGAGCTTAAAATACAAACAAGCACGAGAATTTTTACTAGGATGGAAACTGGGTAGGGGAATGGGAATGTTGTTCTTAACCCAAGGGTTTTGCTTTCCGCGTCACAGTGTATGCTGTTGGAATGAGTGACGGCTCCTTTTTTGGAGTGATTTCAGTCTGTTGCTGCAGTGCTATTTCCATAGCAACTCCTGTTGCCACACAGCCGACATCTGATGAAATGATGACCACAGCTCAGGGGTACAACTCCTCATCCCCTCGCATCCCTGCCAGGGGTGTTGAGAAACCCTGGGTGGAGAGGAGGGTCAGCCCATGCCACTTTGATGAGGTTTGATTGGCAGCTTTTGCATTCCTGGGGATATCATCAGGGCTTCCCAGAAAGTTAGCTGGGCTTGGGCTTCTGAAGCTTCCCCTTGGAAACATCCTCTTCTCTCTATGTGGAGGAGGAAGTATCACAAAGACGGGAGATAATTAGAAAGGACATTTTTCTAATTTATGAAGGTATACAGATTAGCACTGCTTTTTTTTTTTTTTTTTTTTTTTTAAATGAAAAATTACCTGATAGGGAGTACAGGCCAACCAAGATCATACTGAATTTCTGAGTGTGGCAGGCCAGCGTGGGGCCTGTGTTTTAGGTATCTCATTTAAAATGGAAAGTTCCAGTTTGCTTTGGGGCCAGAATCCTTAAAAGAAATCCTGGCTGGAGGTGTATTATGGGTCACAGTATATTTGCTGGTTTATATCTTGCTGACTAAATTGGCAAAGTTTTTATTTTTCCTGGTAAATATTCAGAGGGTTTTTTCCTCACTCCTTTCTCCAACAAAATCATATTTGTCGTATGTGTATGAAGTAAATGACTGTGAACACTGTCCACACATCTGTGATGATATGAAAATGAGTGGTGACAAACAAAGATTCCTTTTCTTAGGTACCACAAGGCCTCAGATGACGTTGACTTTATCCTCACATTACTCTCAAATTGTGACCACATGGAAACAAAATGGGCCAGATCCGAGAGACCCAAATGTCCAGCACAGCAAAAGGGTTATTATTGGTGAAAAATTTAGGTGCCCCCCCCAAGTGACTTAGAAAGCTTGAAATTTTCTCTTAATCATTAGTCTTTTTTTTTTTTTTTGAGATGGAGTTTCACTCCTGTTACCCAGGCTGGAGTGCAATGGCACGATCTCGGCTCACCGCAACCTCCGCCTCCTGGGTTCAGGCAATTCTCTCGCCTCAGCCTCCTGAGTAGCTGGGATTACAGGCACG